TAGTTTGTAGTTAGCTTCATAATAAGATTGTATTTAATTAATTCTTTGATATCATCATAGAAAGTTAATGCATTTTTAATTTTTAACTGAGTCTAGGTTGTTATATTAAAATGCTCTAGTCTATCTTGTTTAATTTCTTTTAAAGCTAACTATGTGTGCTTATACTATTCTTTTTCTTTGTTACTGTTGAAGCTATTTGAAGCTTTTTTGTTTCTTTCTAAAAAGCTGTTAGTAACTGCCTGATTATATGATATTTTTTTTTATATTTGTTTCTCTAATATTGTGTCTGTTGAATATGTTTTTTCTTTTTTATCATCTATGTTTGTTGTGTCTTGATTTATTTTCATATCTGGTATTTGTTTGTTTATATTATTATCTGCATATATACTAGATCTAGAGGCTAGTTCTGGCTGAATTAGTTTGTTTATATTTATATTTTGTTCTTATGTGAGAAGAATTGTGTTAGTTGTGATAGGAACTTGAATCAGACTTTGGCTATTTTGTAAATTTATAAGAATATTTTTTTCTATTGGTTGATGTAAGTCTAGGATTGAATTTGTTGTTGTTTCCATCTGTACTGATAATGTCATGTCTTGAAAATTCAGAGTTAAACTAGAATTTTTTTTTTTTGAAATTTTCTTCTATTGTATTTTTTCTAGTATTTGTTTAAACTGAAATAATAGTGTTGTAGTTAGTTTTTCACTTTTTTTCTTTATATTGTTTATCTATTGTTTTGCTGTTATTAGTATATATATAAGCAGGTTATGTTTTTTTTCTTTGAGTTTTAGCTATATATGTTTTGTTGTTATTCTTTTTATTACTATCATTGTTTACTTTAGGTGCTAATATAGTTAGCAACAAGGTTGTAAAAAGAACAGGAGTGCAGAAGGTAGTTTCTCTGCTTCATTTAATTTTTAGTAGCTTTGTTTGTTGTTACTGTAACAAGTTATTTTTAATTATTTCGTTATAATATTCTAAGTATTTCTAATTGTAATTTAATATTTGTTTATTATATAAAATTGATTTATAGAAAAGAATTATAAATGTTATCTTTTTATTTATTCCAATCTTAGTACTTACTTCACAACATATTACTACTACTTTGGTATTCAATTCAAGTTCTAGTTCTGTTTCATAGATTTAGTTTTTATAACAGTACTATTAAAAGTTTAGACTACTTATCTATTTAGATCTTCCAAGTAGGCTTCTGTCTTTTTGGTTTCTGTGATCTATATAGTTATGAAAACTTATTATAGGTTTACATTACCTAATACTAGTTTGTATTTTTTTGTACAAGATACAACTATTGCATAAATGTCATGTAACTTTTCAGTTATACAAGTATAATAGAAATAACAAATATCTTATTTTAACTAATAGTAAAAGACAGTTGATTATAATATAAACTAAATTTTAAAATTTTAACAATACTAAGATTTAAACTTTAGATCTACTATTTTGAGATTGACAATATGATCACTTCACTATATGAGGTTGAGTCAGTAGAAATCAAGCAAATTAGTAAAATCCTAATTTGGAGATAATCTAATTTTTGTATTACACATAGTAAACAGTATCCGATCTAATCAGTACTAATCAGTCTATATCGAATGATCGGTAATCAAAAAATATTGAGTCAGTAGAAATCAAGCAAATTTATCTATTAAATTTGCTTGATTTCTACTGACTCAGTATTTTATATTAAAAATGAGAAGATCGGAAAAAAATTGAGTCAGTAAAAATCAAGCAAATTTATTAGATAAATTTGCTTGACTCAGTATTTTATATTAAAAATACTTCCCTCTGTCATTACTATTGTAACAAGTAAGCTAATGTTCGTGAAAGCTTCATGGCTATATAACTAAAAAAACGCAACAAAATTTTTGTCAAACACTAAGTTTTTGAATTACTATATGTCTTTATGACTATTTAGCAGTACAAGTAAGCTTTTTTTTATGCTTAGATCTTATTACGTCGGGTCTTAAATTAGGATTGACCTTATTTTTTTGGTAGTTTCAAAGTGCTAATATTGTATTAACTAGCTCTCTACATGCGCTACATTGCTATTAGATAAAGATGATTTGTTACAACTTGGATTGAAAGAGAATTACGCATGCGCAAATTAGTTTTCAACTGCAACTAAAACTATGCAGGATGTATTTTAATGGTAGATTCAGGATTAATAATAGTTTATTATTAAATAAATTGGGTTATTGTATGATATGTATCATCTCTTTGACTCTTTTATTCCATTTTTTAAAGAAATAAAAAATATATATTTATAATTCTTCGATTATAAAAAGTAAATAAGAATATAAAAACTGATTACAATAAGTTAATTATAAAAAAAAAGTATAACAGCCTTTATTTAATGAGACTGTTTTTTTTACATTTATCTCACTAAAAACTTGATCCTGTCAACATTAGCATAAAAATGATGATACAGGCTGATTTAAAGCAAAAAAAAAGGAGATATCAAATTCTTAAATCCATTCTTTTATACCTAAGGCCATGCAAATTTAATTAATTGGTTTTCATAACCCAGCCAGGTTTGTTCAAAAGTCTTATGTCATGAAAACCAATATATTAAATTTGTGTAGCCTAATAAACACAAAATTTAAAAACCTATTTAAAGTGATAGTATAATTTGATTCAGATCCGATTAACTCATTAAATAAAACACACTGTTGAGGCTACCAATTGATATGCGATTCTGCTGTTAAAATTAAAATTATCAGTAATGATGCCTAATATGATGCTAAACATAAAAATTATAACAACCTTTTTTTAAAATTAATCGTTAGTTTCAATAATTTTTGCTTTCTTTTTTGGCTTGGGTTGGGTTGGTTTTGAACAATATATATCTTGTTTTGATGTGTCCTGAATATGCTGCCGTATTTCTTTGTACAAGTACCATTGCTGCTCTAAACTGATACCACACGCTGGTAACACTTCTGTAAAAGAATTTTTAATGCAAGGAATTGACTCAATTCATGCAATATTAAGTTCTTTTGATGTACCATTACAGGATGTTCAGACCTCCACTTTTCTAACATTTTTACTAGAGATTATAAACTGATATTGTTTGAGAATCGATGGTATTGTTGTAAAAAATTGACCTAGAAATTTGGACTATCTATAAAAAATAACTCTTTTATTTCCATTTATATCATAAATCATTTCTGCTTAATTATATCCATCTATTGTAGATTGCTCAACTACATATACTAAATCATTTAAATCATCCATCTCAGATTTCTGAAGTTTTAATTTGAAGAGATCAAAGAATTTATCAGAACTAAATTTGGTATGCCCCACGACCATAAAACAATAGGTAATTCTATCGTGTAATCTATTCATTACTCTCTATATAAAATACTGAATCATGGCATTATTTTTGTTCTGGCCAACACAATTGTCAACATGTATAGTAACATATTTTTCTCCAAGACTGTGATTACTAAAGTAATTATGAACCAAAAAGATTACTGCATTAGCTCCTTTTCCCATGCTTTCATTTTCTGGAATTAAATAGTTAATCTATAAATATAATAATAGCAATAAACGTTAATATAATTATAAAAGTTCTGATACAAAATTCCGATAATTTATAACTCTAACATCCAAAAATTCTAATAGTTCAAGATCTTTAAGTTTCACAAATATAAGAACTTGGTAATTCAAGAATCTGATATTCTACAATATATCTGTCAATCCATATTGTCTTAAGAACTGTACCAGAGCTCCTTTAGCAAGATACTTTATATTTGCTTTACTGAAGAGTATCTATTCAATAATTTCTTTGCATTAAGTTATGTTTGACGAATTAGTTGATCAACATCATGATTGTCACTTGTCTACTTATGAAATTTTTTCTCAAATCTTAATAGAAAATTGAAAAATAATAAGAATAATTATAATTAAGACTAAAATAATACGAATAATTATAATTAAGACTAAAATTTAATAAATAATATATGTGGTCTATCAAAGGTCTAAATTAATAAGATTCTGAAAATTAAAATCCTAAAAATTCAGAATACAGTATATAAATTTATACATACCATATTTTTGCAAGATACTATCATTACTACTGTCTACAATACTCGGTATTAGACAATCTGTCTTTAATTCTATGTTAGTAACAATATTCTTCATTTTTTTCAATTCCAATTCTATCTTAATAAATTATTTGACATTGCATGTTTCATCAGAATTACCTAAACCATTATAATGTACTGACTAATCTGCATTATAAGTAGAGCTTACAGATTTTTTATTTAAATAATTTGAATTAGCAAATATTTATTCAAATATTCGCTGAATGACTAACATTATTTGAATAAGCAAATTTATTCGAATAATTTTCAGTCATTGGCTGCTTTATATATATTATTAGCTTTAGATATAGTTACTATATATGAAGCAGCCAATGACTTGTTTATTCGAATTATTCATCAGGTAATTATTGTTGCAGATTTTAATGAAATCAGATTAAAATGAGTTTTGGATTTTCTATTTAACCCTCTAAACCCACCTCTAACAGTAAAAAAAAGTTAAGAAAATGCATCCCAAACTTTTGTATTTTTCGGTAGCTTGTCTATTTTGTACTATACGAAATTTCATTTTATTCTGTCACAATTATTATTCGAATGAATATAAAGCTCTAATCATAAGAAATAATAAAAACATATCCACATAGTATAAATAAATAAATAGAATATCAATGGCATCCTTTAATCACAGTGGTGAAAGGATCTCAAAAAAAAAAAACATACACACTAAAGTAATAGAGATTCTATGTTTTGTACTAAAGTATCTTGTATGAGAGATACTGAAAAGAGGGTATTTAGTCAGGACATTACAGTAATAAAAGGTTGGTAAAAAGATTATTAGATGCTATTATAGCTTACAATCCTTCCCTTGCTATGTTAATTTTAGTATCAGAATTCTATATTTAAATTCTGTGATAAATTTTTTACATATAATATAATTACTTGTCAGAGAGTTCCTTCTTCACATATACCAAATACTTCTACTTTAAAAGGAGATTTGAAATATATTGTGCCTTCTTGTTGTGAGAAGTAGGGAATTTGAATGTTCTTAGCAAAATCCCATGAAATATGGGTTTCGATATAAAGTGAATTTGGTATACCAGGACGAGAAAAGCTAGTTAAACTTTTTAAGGCTGCCTTTGATTTTATGATGCATGTCCTAAAAATTAAAGTTAATTTTAAATAATATAATGATAAATTATTTGACAAGATATAAAATATGAGGTATAAAACCAGTAATATTCTCATTTTAGTTGTGCCCAGCTATAATGATTATTTCATTCTTGTATTTTTTGTTTGACTTCATCCTTGTGCCAATATTTTGCTCCAAATCCCATCTTCTTGCATATCATATATAAATCACTACGTGCAGTTAAAAATTAATTCCCAGAAAATATAATCTCCAAATACGGAGAAAACTTGAAAAACTAATCTTATTATCCTCACTATTTTCGATACCATCATAAAGTCTAAATAATAAACATTTACTTTCACATGCAGGCAAATAAGTTACCTCTCTCGTATTGTCCTGAAAACTTCGATCTAATGATTAATTTAAAATAATTAATAAACTATAAATAACAAATTATCTTATTGCTTGTATACCTGGAGATGGCAGGCCATGTTTATTTGCATAATTCTTAATAAATTTTAATACATGTAATACTGTAATAAACAAAATTGCAAAATTACTAATGCGCCTACTTAATTTATGGATTTTTGAAGCTAGTTTGTATTGTTGGTAATGTACACATAATGAATCCCATTTAGCCTGTCCAATGCCATATATATTTAGCCAAGTAGTTTGACAAACTAGTATTTCACTAAAATTGTAATTAGTCATTAAATATGTTTTTGATACTCTGTTATTTAACATTCCAAATCTAACACTGACATCTATCATTTCTAAAAAACAAAAATTATTTTTTGATTGGGACAATGCTTTTATTTCACAATATCATTTAAGAGCAACTTGTACATTAATATTTGTAGCACAATGCTTTTGACAACATTGATTTTGTAATTTTTTTAAATATGCTTCATCATCCTATTTTTCTAACCTTGTTGAAGACTTGCTTTTGTTTTTAATAGATGCCTGTATAGGTTTGAGTATATAAATTTTTTTAAACTCTTCGATTTGTCTTGAAGTAAAAATATCATTTACATCATCTTCTTGAACTTCTTCTGATATTATATTGTCATTTGCATTATCTTCTTGACCTTCTTTGAACATTATACTTTCATCCTTGTTATCTATATCATTGTCACTATCACTATCATCCTTTAAATTATTGGTCTGATAAACTTCATAAAGCTTATTTAGTTTATCATTTAAAGTTTCCAATTTGCTATATGTTTCTAAAAAGATACTATCAAACAAAGAATTTTTAATTTTAGACATCAATAACAATGACAAGAAAAAAAATAAAAACAAAACAAATCAGATCATTATAAATCACTTTATATACCATAAAATCATTATAATAGCCTGTGCATTATCTTGTATTATTTTAAATATATACATATATGCTGTTATGGATAGATTCGACCCTAGGACCTTGAGGAAATGTTGCATAATAACCACGATCTGCATCATAAAAACCGTCATACTACGATACCCACGACTCAAGACAAATCAAGCTCCTCATTAAGTGATGGCACCGATCTATTGAAGAAAAAGCCACCTGCCCGATTTGAAATCCAACTGTCAAGATAATATTACCTTGACAGGAAAAGTCTGTGGCCATGTCAATGCGTTATCATATGTTGGATTGTATGCCATTGTGGAATGATGCTAAGGTAATGACAGATGAATTGTAAGAAAAAGGGAAGAGTGTTAGTAAAAAAGAAAAAAACGGTCAATGACTATGAGAAAAAGCGTGTCAAAGCCGTGTCCCAAGTTCCCATTTTTCTTTCCCAAAATGTTCTATAAAAAGTGTGCCTCCTGCCCTATAGAGAGACATAAGATATAGTACCTTTCTGCCTCTAAAAACCTGAATCGCCTTGTAACTTGTAACCTGCCCTAAAATAATTAATAAAGTTTTTAATTAATAAACTAACTAAACTGTCAAAATAAATAAATAAATAAAAAAACCCTACGCTCCTTTAAACTCTCCTAGTAACATTCTCAAGGCCGCTATAGACCAGTGCCAAATCGAATCTGCCTCACCTGCCTTGAGTAATGTTATGCGATGTCGATGAATTCGAAGCGACAATTTGTTGCATTTCTTCTTGTTCCTGTAGTGCCATTCCCGACCTTGTACCCCATATCAATGTGTACGCCAACATATTATTCATTATCTGTTATGTTTGATATGTGTAATTCAGATAGCATTAATAGCATTAATAATAAACACATTCTATATGAATACTTATAAAAATCAAGTATGTAATTTGATTGTGTGAGCCTGTTTCTTCTAAATACTGTATCTGCATGCGCTTTATTTATGCTCTCTTGAACTTAACAATTATATCCTGCCTTTTTAGTATGTTCTGATATTTGATTATTATTCTTAACATTGTTCAGTTTATCAAATTCCCAAACAGTCTGACTTCTAAACACATTTCTATGTATACATCAACATGTGGCTTCTAAAGTTTCCTAATCTTTATTAAGTATTTTGTTAATCTCATTTAGCACAACATCATCCTACTAATTACCCTTACCAATATTTCATTATCTCATTACAATTTTTGTACAAACATTTTATCACAGTATCAGTCACACAATCCCATTATTCATGCTATATACTCTCCCAACCGATTAACATTCTCAAAAATATCATACCCAGTGTTGTTACTAGAAGACCACTAGAAGGTCACTGAAAAGCCACTGAAGTAAAATTTACTAGAACTTTTACTATTGCAAAATCTCACTACAAGCCAAAATCAACAACACAAATGCCACATCATTATCAAATATTTAATCACTTGGTCCATACCCTTTTTAACCTTAAATATTATAAAGAAAAAAGTTTTTTTACAATTTGTACTGCCTCAGCGTGTTTAGTATTTAATAATATAACTTGACTCTTATTTAAACATCTAACCACTACATTACATATCTAATCTTCTTCACCAATCTTATTGTCCTTTCCATCAGCTTTAGTTGTACAAGCACAAGGTACTATTCCAATACCATTACATGATTTCAGGTATTCTTTTTTTTACTTGCTATTGTGTCTTATTAATGTCTTTGTTCGTTCGTTTATTCATATACTGTCACTTGGTTCCTTTGATCACTCGAATTTCAACAAGCAAGACCTTAGTCTTACTCAGATCCTTTGCATTGTGGCATTAACTAGTGCTTCTGGTACTGATCTAAGTTTCTACAGGGTCTTTGTTTGGATCCACCTAAGTATGAACCTTCACCTTATGGTTCTCTTAAGCAGTTCAATATTATATTAGACTTTAACATTAACATTAATAAATTAATTATCGATAAGATCATGTTACACAATAACTCAGTGCTAGAATTGCTGGGGTTGATCGATTTACATTTCTGAACTGATTTCCAGATCACAATATTTGTGTAACTATAGATTAAAAACTTCAATATCTTAAAATTTTATTATGCTAATCAAATTTTATTCTTAATTAAAAAATAATTAGCACATTAAATTCTATTATTTTATTGAAAAATCTCAATTTTGAAAAATTTTTAATTTGCTTAATTTCTACTGACTTAACCCTATATATATTTTTTATATTAAATAAAAAAACAAAAAAATAAAATAAAAAAAAACAAAAAATAAAAAAAAATTAAAATTTTCATATGCCAATAAATTCTTTACTGGCTTTGACTACTCAGTTTATTTTTTGTTCAAATGTTTTATATTTATCAAATACAACTCTCATGTTTATCAAGGCTTGTTTGATTTTATTAACCTGAATAAAAAAAAATAAATAAATAAATAAATAAATATTATTATTAATAAATAAAAAAAAACAAACCAAGTTTTGATCTGTTTCAGTAATAGAATTGTATTTTTTTAAAATTTCTAAATGTTCAATGTTGAATTTTTTATAAAGCCTTTCCAAATAATCATTAAATAATTGTTATGAAATTGGATTTTTAGCAGCCACTACAATACCAGCACGAGAAGTAAAAGTTGGCCACTTAGATGAGGTCAATGCATGTGCCTACAAAGGAATCATGTATATAATACTTAGTAAAAGAATATCAGCCAAGTTTGACAAATTTTTATTACAATGTTTTAAACTCATTTTTTTTTGTTGGTTGGTTTTTTTTTTAAAAAAAACCTCTTTTTATTAAAAATATAAACTAATCACTTATCAATAAATATATATTAAGTAATTATAATGAAATACTAATTTTTTTTTTTTTTTAACCTTAGACAGTCACACTAGTACTTTATTAATATTCTAGTAATTACTACAGTTACATCAATGTTTAACAACTAAGTCTAGCATTACCCAGCTACCCTAATGGCACCTAAGTGCAGACCTGTCGCATTACTTCAAGCAGAAGTAAATTACTCATCAGACTACTTAAAGTCCATAATGAAAGGGTCTTCTCCCTTTCATGACAAGCTCCAATATTGTCTTCCTAGCTTCATTTTTGATTTATTTTTTCCTTTTTTTTAATTATCAAGCAAGAAAATTCTACAATCCTTGCCTAAAGAACAACAAGATATACTAAAGAAAAAACTAAAAGGGAGTAAAGAAAAAAGGAGAGACTAACTACAAAACCTAAACGTAAACCAAAAGAAAAAAGAAAAAGATAACAAAAAGAAGAACAAAGAAAAAACAAAAAACATGAAGGCACTATTATTGGCTATGTCAGGCTTTAAAAATTCTATATAATACTAAATAAAGAATACCCCACATTTGCTTTATCTCCATATTATAATATATTTTATTTATCATGTAAGGAGAATGATCGAAGTTTTTATTTTTCTCTTGAGTTTGATATATGTTGTCTATCATAGGTCTGATACTCGTCTCGTGATTTTCTCGTAACTAACATTACTGATTTGGAAAAATAAACAATGTTGATCCTTTGAAGAGGGTACATCAGATTTCCCACTTTTTGGTAAAAATTCTGAAAGAAAAATTCAGTAGTGAGAACGGAAAGAAGAACCAACTTAAAAAGGAGTTGTAAGAGTTACGCTATATAGAATATTAGATTAAACCAAGTAACTATTTAGGCCTATGCCCTCATAGTACTTGATAAAGCTTTAGAGCTTATCTACTACTTCTTTGCTTGGTAATACTTGTGTTTTACTAAGAGACTTCGCTTACAAGAGTTCGAATCTTTTTCAGCTTTTTTCAGTTATAATCAAGCATGCAGTGAATAGCCTTCCTAGTTAACCTAAAGTAAAGTTTTGTTATATTTAAATATAATAACTATATAGTTTTCATAGGTTAGACTTTTGGAAAAAGTTGGTGTAAGGGATCATCAGAAAGAGTTTGTATTAGTTATTATTATTATTATTTTATTATTATTATTTAGTATTCATTTTTTATTATTGTATTATTATTATTAATAGTTGCTAAAACTTTTTAATCATTTAGTAATCACTTAATTACTTAATCATTTAGTAATCAGTTGTTTAGTAATCATTAGTTATTAGTTACTTAAACCTTCTGATTACTTAGTAATTGCTTAGTTACTTAGTTATTTAGTTACTTAGTCACTTAATATTTAGTCACTTAATCACTTAGTTGCTTGACTGCTTAGTTTACAAATATATAAATCCTGCTAAATTTCTCAAATCTGATTAAGTAACAAATATACCTCTTTTTTTTAACAATATAAATATATTTTGAGATTCTTTAGAAACAGAAACCTAAGAATAATTCTTCTTGTTATTACTTTAATAAATGACTTTTGACTATAAATTGTATTGATACTCTCTCTCTTTAGAATAATTCCTACAGGCAAGGTTTATCTTCTCTTAGTAAAATAAAGTAAAATTATTAGTATTATATTACCTTTCTTAAACTGCTTCAAAGAAAGGTATAGTTTCTTAACAGCATCTAATAGAAACTATACTTTCCTTTTGAACACCACATACACTTATAAAGAATTTCCTATGTCATGTTATCATTATAGCATGAAAATTAAGAAAGCTTTCACCTATAACAGTATGCTTATGTTTGTACAAATTATATACATATAATATATATATAATTAACAACACAATATATAAAAATAATAATTGCTGTAAACATCAACCTTAACAAAAAAAAAAATACAAAAATTTTTTTTTAAATTTTACTATATAAAATCATAAGTTGCCAATAATAATGCACTTTTTATAGTAAGGTTTACTTTAAATAATATTTTTTATATTGTGCAATACAGAGTTTATAAGCCAATCAAATCGAATATCCATCATGCTGGTCAGAGTTAAGAGTTAAAAAAATATAAGTTTGTGTTAGAGCACAAAAGTGGTTTCTTATGCTGATTACTGTGTTATAAGTGATTTTTTGCAAAACGAATAGTTACTTTGATCGTGTTGCATCTGATTCGTAGATAATGAGAACTACATTACAACCTGGTACACATTTTCCGATTGCGAAGAAATCTCTTCTGTGGATACTCACAATTTTGTAAAAACAACTTTACACTTGAATAAAATCCAACAAAGGTTATTTTTACCTTTACGAAATTCTGATTTTGACATCATAGTGCTATTCTATATGAAAATTAAAAGTATGTAGCGGTAGTTTAAGCAATGTGTATAATTACTGCGGAGCTACTGCGGAGCACTAGCGCAGAATGAGTAATATGTACGATAAGGGTTATCGGTTACATATTTAATTGTTGCCGAAATACCATAAGGAAGGCTTTCATATGATTTGCTAGTAATTTTACAGTTTATAGTACTTTTTAAAAAAATAAAACTACAAAGAATAAATAAAAAAGAAGTATATAGAATGTTTTAATAGGGTTGGTTGTAGGACTTAACCATTAAAAATAATCAAAATCATTTCTGGTTTTAGAGAAGTTAGCATAAGATAGATAGAATTAGGTTATTACCATGCTAACTTCCCTAAAACAAAAAGGAACTTTGATTATTTTTAATTGTAAAGTCCTACAACCCTAATAAACATTCTATACTTTTTTTAAAAAAAAAAGTACTTTAAACTGTATATAAACTGTAAAATTAATTTGATTTAAATAGCCAATCATATGAAAGCCTTCCTATGGACCGCAATATAGTTGGTCGAAGTTATTTCATTGTTGCACGAACTTTCATTTTTTTATATCGTTTACAATAGAATTAAGAGCCTCACGTGAACAAGTTACACATAACAATAAAATCAGTTTTAGACAATCAGAAATCTTTCTTATTACAGTATTAGCCTATAAAATCGAACTTTATTATACAAAATGCAAGAAACTCATTTATTTAAAGTGGCCCAAGGCGCAGCAACTTATGAGGTTAGAATAATTGATCATGTGAAAAGTTGTGACGCAGTTATTATATGACTATATAAGTAAAATCAGCTGAGAGTATAAAATGTCTTCACACATCACAAAACATTAAAAACTTCAATTATAACCATAATGTTTGGTAGCTCAAATCAAAGCACTTTTGGACAGAGTGCGGGAACGAGCGGCTTTGGGCAGCCAAATCAATCATCGTTATTTGGAACTAACACACAGACACCTGCCTTTGGTAATACTCGTCTTTCTCGAGAAATTTACTTAGATCGCGAACTAATTTTTTACTTTTTTTCTCATTTACTTATACTCGATTTAGGCGGCTTTGGAGCGGGAACGTCAGCTTCTACAGGCACGGGCGGTTTTGGAGGCTTCGGCGTTCAAAGTCAGACAGCGTCCACTTTTGGGTTCGGAGCTCGTATGTGACTTTTCATACTCTTGAATTGATTCTTTTGATCGTCTGAACCTTCTAAATTTACGTTCAATTCTCTTAATTTCCTAGCTGCATCAAATCCAAGCGGTGGTTTGTTCGGAACGCCAACAGTAACTCCTTTCGGTGGTACGGGTAAGTTTTAGATATTTAAGATTTCTGAAATATCCTTAAATTTGATGGTTTAGTCATTATATTGTTAGAAAATGTGTTTAATATTAAAGGTTATAAAGAAATTGCATTTATAAACTTTATATTCTGATAAAAATCCGGCCATGATGATAAAATCCCAATTTTTATGTTGTGTGATCAAATACGGCTTTTCTGATATGGTAAATTCAAATCGACGGGAAAATACACAACCATCAAATATGTCTATTTATAATTACTTATTGATGTACTATTTCTTTAACTACAGGGACATCCACTGCAACACCAAGTCCACCTCCTAACGGCACAGCGAATCCATCTTATACGACAACAAGCGAAAAAGATCCTGCTGGAACTTTGAACATTTTCCATAGTATCAGTGCGATGCCTGCGTACAGAAACTTCTCTTTTGAGGTATGAATGTATCCAAGAAAATTATCAAATTTCTTATTTATTTGACATCGAATATTTTACTAATCAATTAATGGTCATTAGGAACTTCGACTACAAGATTACCAATTAAATCGGAAACCACTTGCTAATGGATCTAATTTTGGTGGGATTGGTGGAGTAACGCCATCCTTTGGGGCTACAAGCACACCAAATGCGTTCGGTGCCGCACCTGGTGGATTTGGCAGTGCTTTTGGTACTAAATCAACGCAGCCCTCTCAGCCATTTGCATTTGGCGGTGGTGCTACAGCTACTCCCGCCCCTGGAGGGTTTGGTGGTTCATCGCAAATATTTGGTGCATCAAAACCTTTCGGTGCACCAACAGCGGGATTTGGTAACACACCAGCTGCTGGAGGGAGTGGATTTGGAAGCGCAATAGGTGGAATAGGTAATAATATATTTTTCTTTATTTACCTCTTTTTCATTTATTTTCGTTACACTCATAATATCTTTGATAGGTGGGAGCAGCCTTTTCGGTGCAACATCTACGCCAGCTACACCTACTTTTGGAGCAAAGACTACAACTACAGCGCCCGCATTTGGACAAGCCAATGTAGGTGGAGGATTCGCAAGCGGGGGTCTGACTACAGGCTTTGGATTTGGTAATATATTGATTTTTTTATATTTATACTTATGTTTAGATATATATACCTTGAAACTTACCAAGGAACTTTGGATATCAAATTAGGACCCAAAACTACTACTGCGGCTAGCGGATTTAGCATACAACCTACAACGACACTAGCTTTTGGCGGATTCGGAGGTACATAATTAGATTTAAAACCAAAATAGTAAATAAATAAACAACTAATTAAGTATGATTTAGCTAACAATCTGCCTTAATAATTTAGCAACGACAAGTGCACCTCCTTTGAACTTATTTAGTACTTCTAAACCTTCTTTTGGTTTTAATACTCAAAGCAGTAAATAATAAAAATAATTTACAAAGTTCTTATATGTTAATTTTATAGTCTAATTATTCAACTCTTTTTTTTTTTTTACATTTCCTTCTTAGCAGCCGGTGGTGTTTTCGGAGGTGTCGCACCTGCTACGTCAAATACAACTAGCAACTTGTTCGGTAATTTCGGCGCAACTACGAGTGCACCTACAGGAAACCTAGGGATGGGGCTATTTAACAACAAACCAACAGTACCTAGTATTAATCTTGGAGCCACTACTCAGACACAACCTTCAAGTTTTAACCTTGGTGTACCTAGCATGGGATTTGGTACCGCCTCCGTATCTGCGCCTTTTGGACAAACTGGTCAAACCCAAGGATTAGAAGCTAGTGTTGACAAGTCACCATATGGTGACATTCCAGTTTATCAGATGACATCATCAATGCCTACTAAACCGACAGTAACCGCTACCCCCCTTGCATCAAGTCCCACAAAAAAGAAATCCATTACCACTTCTCATAAAGTCACACCAAGACCAACCACAAAACTCAAACCGTTTATACTTTCATCTCCGCCTACTAATCAAGGTTACAGGCCAGAAGTAAAACCATTGCACCTATTTGAATCTGTGAGTCAGGATGATATATTAAGTCCAGACGCATTTACAAGACGGAATCCTAGAAAACTAGTTTTAGATCATTCTGTTGAGCCACAGGAGTTATTGCCCGAACCTGATACTCGGGCTGGAGCGTCAAATGAAGGGCAAACACCAATCAAAAAATCTTTACCCTTCGACTCCAGACTTGAGTCGGGTGCTGATACTATATCTCATTCATTTAGTCCAAAAAATAATAGACCCATAGATGTATCTAGTAGCTCCACGATTGCAACTCCAACGAAAATATCAAAAACACCGTTAACATCATCTAATGGATCAACTAAAGAGGAGGAGATATTTTCATCGCCAATTCTTGATAGTGAATATTATTCCACTCCAACAATTAAAGATCTCAAGGAAATGAGCCCAGAGCATTTAAAATCAGTTAGTGGTTTTCTAGTGGGAAGAAAAGGCTATGGTGCCATCGAATATCCTGACCCAGTTGATCTTAGTGAAATCAATCCAATTGAAGATATTCTGGGGAAAATTATTAAATTCGAGTCACAACACTGCACCGTCTATGGTAATGATTATAGCAAACCACCTCCAGGGCAAGGACTCAATAAACCTGCAATAATCTCGTTGACAAATTGCTGGGCTTTGGATAAAAGTAATCGACAACCGATTACTGAACCGGAAGATCCCCGATATCAACAACGTATTGAAAGATTAAAAAGGGTTGATGGTACAAAGTTCATTACCTTCGTGCCTGCAACCGGTACCTGGGTATTCCAAGTAGAACATTTTACTACATACGGTCTTATTTTTGATGATCCTGAAGACCAATTTGAAGAAAAACGGTTTCAATTTCCTGTAGTACTTCCTGTCACTGAAGGGGATGAAACAAAACCTCTATCTCAATCACGAAAAGGAAAAGAAAAAGAACACGATATTGATAAACTTAGTCCAGTGATTAATTTTTCAGAAGCCTTGGGTCATGATCCTGACGTTATCAGTGAAATGCAAAACTTCATATTTCATAGCGAAGATATTATGTCAATGGATACTACTATAGACAATGAAGAATTTGAAGATTCTCGCAAACGTAGTTTGGGAAGTTATGAGGATCAGAATGCCATGCAAGTTGAGGAACGACCTATTGTGGAGGTGAGTCGGGGAGTCATCAAACAAATGTAAATTTTTGCATATATATCCACACGATTTCGATACTGGAGTATTTAAATTTTTAAGTTTTGTACCAAATGTTTGGTTTCTTGTTTGTTGAATCTTTATATTTTCTTTCGATAGTTTAATGATATATATGTGTGTATATATCAATATGTTTATATAGTTTTTGTTTTTTCTTCCAATATATTCTTTCAATGATATATTCGATTTGATGTTCTGTAAATCCTAATTTGAATGTGTTTACAATAAATTGTGCTTTTTAAAAAATCATATAATTGTTTAATTTCTAACTTGTCTACTGTATGTCATATGAAGTCACGTAAGTCGTTTTCCACGGCGGTAGAGATACCTCAACGGGATGTAGTTATTCCAATGCCTAGCAAGTATCGTAGGATTGTTGATTATAATGATTCCGTTGTATTTGGAAAAAATTATTGCAAAGAAGATTCAGGACTTGTAATGGGAAGGTCTTTTAGAGTAGGATGGGGTCCTAACGGAATTCTCGTTCGCTGCAGTAAAGTATGTGGGATTTCAAATGTAATGTAAGTGAAAGCGTATGATTGTGTTTTTCTCGAGTCAATAAATATATTAAGCATTTAAACTTCAACTTGATCCACCTTTAGATCAGCTTTCTCTCCAAAAGGCAAGAATACTGGCTTAAGTAAAAATACTGGAATGCCTTCAATAATTCAATTTGAACAACTTCGAATGTTCGCTGATACGGAGGTATGTAAATATAAGACGTTTATTTATTGTATTAGATAAATACTTAATGTTTAACTTGTTTAGGATAAGGAAAAAAGAAAACACAATAGATTAATGGAATTTATTTTCGAAAACTCAACTATTGGGCAAGACAATGGAATACCCTATGTTGATACCGCTAAGGTTAATTTTAAAAATATAATAGACGCTTTTCAAAATGAAGACATTCACCGACATGAAAAATTGATTTGGGAACTTGGACACGCTTTATGGGATGACCTCACAATTCCTGGTGCAGATCAGACAGCTTCGGAAGTTGTAGAAAAAATCGCACTTGAAAAGCGTAAAGAACGAATTTCGAAGTGGTTCAAGGATGCCGTTTCACTTCATGCTATAGCACACATTAAGCGTGCCAATAATGCACCAGAGACCATTTTCGGTTGTCTTAGCAGTAAAGATATAATGAAAGCTTCAAAAGTGGCAATTAAAGAACGCTATTTCCGTTTAGCGACATTATTGTCCCAACTATGCGGTAGCGATAAATTTTTTAGAAAACATCTTGAAGATCAAATCGAACATTGGAAGCAGACTGGAGTAGATAAGCTTATATCTAAGGACATTTGGAAGCTTTATGAAATAATGGTTGGGAATGTAAGATCGTCGATATATGGATTGGAATGGAAACGTGCTCTTTGTATGCATATGTGGTATGGTCGTTATTCAGATGAACCATTTGATAAGGCTTTTGCTGATTACGAGGATGCTCGAAAATTACCAGGCATTGCAAAACCTTTACCGTGGTACAAAGATGAAATATATCCAAAACCTCTTGTATCTTGGCCTGTTTCGGATAATGAAGATATTTTTGATGTTCATTATCATCTTTTAAAACTTTCTGTCGATTCAACCCATCTACTCGATGATGTATTACTCCCATTGTCTATTTCACCTTCGCCTTTAGATTACCGCGTGACATGGTTATTACACTTCATGCTCGCTCGTACGTTAACTGTGCGAGACTTTGTAGGCAAAGGTCTGACTGCTGATCGTGTGACATTGAATCTTGTTAACCAATTGGAACTGTTAGGATTGCATAAATGGACTCTTTTTGTCGCTTTGTTCATAAATGAGCCTTGCAGGTGACCGAATTTAATTTATACAAAAACTTAAATTTGAGCAATATTTGGGAATTTAATTAACTGTTAAATGATTTGATTTTAATACAGTCGAAAAACCGTAATTTGTGAAATATTGAATCGTTTGATGTCGTCTATTTCTTCAGAATGCCTGCGAGATATTGAAAAGTTTGCTAATGATCAATTAAAGATAAATCAACAATGGGTCGATCAAGCTAAGGTAAATTAATAAATAAATGAGAAAGCTTGCATAAAAAAATTTATCGATTGGTTAAAGTTTATTCTATTTACATACTCTACTCTTAGGCTTTATATTCAAAATACAGAGATAATACTGATGAAGAAGCAACGTATTTGTTAAAGGCTGGGAATAACGTTGATGCTCATAAAATAGTCATATCAAAAATTGCACCAGAAAGTATTTTACATAAAAGGCATAAAAAATTGCAAGAATTACTCGAAAAAATTGACCCAAATTCTGTTCCTGATTGGGATTTGGGTGGCAAGGTTCTTTTTATTCATTGAATATTATTGTATTTTATTCTATTGCTAAATCTTACAAATTTGTACAATATATAGATATTTCTAGATTATATTACTTTTATTGAATCGGTACGTATTGAAGATATAGAAAATAACCCCGCCTACCGGACTAATCTTATGGGAATCTGCCAAAGTATTCTAAGTGGTCTCGCGAAAATGAAGCCCATCGACCTTCAATACAAAAAGTGTATCACCTACATGAGCTATTCAACGAAATCTGTTCTTAACCATATAGAAGGGTGTGATATAAATAACATGAGATATAAATCAGATGACATAATTAGTATAGAAATTTGATCCAGCATTTGAATGTGCCAGATTATTGGCGTGGTAACCAGCCACTGTGACCTGCACCAATCCAATTAAAATGTAATTCAATATCAAATCTCTGAATCTTTTTTTAAATGAAATGTTCTACTTTGTGCTTCGGGAATCATCCTGTACTCTGTAGGTTTCTATTTTTTTTTTTAATTTATAAATTGTAGATATAACAGAAATACATAACACTTTGTAAATAGGCTATGCACGGTTAACAAAGCTTATAAAATTGGCTTTTACAAGTGAACCCCTTTAGATAGTTAAGTAGGAAGCCATTGTTATTTCTTTTTTATACATTGCATGATTTAAGACTAAAAATTTTCACATCGAAAAACATTGGCATGCATTGTCGAATGTGGAGGATATGCTGGCTGAGCTAGGAGTTAGGAATAATTTTATTTGAGATAGTATGGAAATATACATGTAATAGTTTAATAAAGTAGTGGAGTATACTACAAAAATTGAAATCGAGTATATAAAACTAGCATACTATACTCAATATATAAAATATTTTATAAATAATCAGGGTTGGTCAAACGACCGATATTACTTATTTTTCAAATTTTCTTTTTTGGGGATCGTCTAAAGTCAGGCAGTCACGTGACCTACAAGCCACAGTGGCAGTGTTGGCATTTGGACTATGCCCAAACAAAATTTTAATTGGACATGGACAAATATGGACATGGACTAAGTCCAAAAGGTGTTCATGTCCAAATAAAGGGTCGAATATAAAAATCCTTTGTGTAACCACTTCGTCCAATAAAAACTTAACACGTAACATATTAAATTAGATTGCTGGTAAAATAATATTTTATTTACCTTTCAACTAACATATTCATGACTTCTCTTTTCTAGCATCTTTCCTGTAACATTTATGATCATTATCTCATACTTTCATATTTGTCAACATTATTATTTAACAATAGGTAGGAAAGAACAAGTTTAAAAAATTGTGCCTGAACAATTAATACAATTAACATTAATTCATGATGATATACGGCTAATAACGAACAAAAAATTTTGGCATTGTTAATTAAAATATGCTGTTGTACGCTAATTATTTTTAATACCGCTTGCTGGCCTTTCAAATAAATTATATATGTACATGTATGCAAATATGAATATGGTTTAATTTAAATTAATAATAAAATAATATTCATACGATAGCATGTTCAGGTAGGTGGTACACTATTTATTTAACAATAGTTCTTTATTTTAACTAGTGTTCAGGTTTATGCAATTTCAGGAATTTATCATTGTTCAAACAATGAAAAATCCCAGAAAAAATTGCATAAGTCTTGATCTCTACTTTTAGTCCAAGGTGAATGATACAGATTTTTGAACATTTTACTGTTATCAAGTGTTGTAAGTAATCTAACTATAATGATGCTAGATGGTAATAATCACAATAGAAAATCTATCTTAGTAATTTTATGTCAAATAATGTGTTAAGCTGAAAATAATACTATCGTGAGAATATTATAACTTCTAATTAGTATTTGTACATTTTGTTCCTTCAAAACTGGTTTAACAAAGAAAATTTTAATTTAGTATAATGTAAAATGGAATAGGTCTAAAAAAATGTTTCGCATTATAACGATACTTTAGGCATTTTCAAACAACTTTCTTGTAAGCTCAACAAAGAATTTGATCAGCTGTCTATTAGACAGATTGATCTAATTCTTTGTTAAGTCCATTGAGAGAGATGCTTGAAAATACTCTTTATTTGGGTAGAGTGATCATCATAATTAGTTATTCTAGTTTATTCGAATAAAAGGCTCTATCGATCCCTTTCAGCGATTCAGACTCTTTTCATTAGTATACTATACCTAATATAGTAATATAGATAAATTTGAATTGTTACGTATAATTCAAAAGTCTGAATCACTGAATGAGGCCATCGTATGATATAGATAAATTCAGTAACAATCAATAGTACAATCATCATAATTACAATTATCTCGGTTACTTATTTTGCAAAATGAAAAATAAAAGGCCTTTTTTAGTAGTACCATATTGTTCTCTACATTACTGTATTAAGTGCCTATTATGCATTTGAAATTTATCTATCATACTGTTTAATAAGGTCAGTTAGAGAATTCAAAAATTTGAATTAAGAATATAAATAAAAACAAATAAATAGTTAAAGAATTTTTAGAGACAAAGTTTGATTAAGAAACCAAGTAGCAATCTCAAAGTCTCGCATTAATAATTCTATTGGTTTAATCATCTTTGCTTACTCACCATATAAATATGAACAAACAACCCCATTGTCTATTGGAATTTATAATCGTGCTTGATGAAAAAGCAAATAAAAGTAACAAGTTCTGTGTCTGTCAAGAATGTGTAATTGGTTCTTCTTATGAAAATGCATATAATAATAAGTTTGCAAACACAAAAGAGTTAGTTCGCCATCACTTAAAAAATTGCATATATTTTAAACAAAAATATAGTGAATCTGAACAAGCAGAAATTCTAGTCAAATCAGATAAAGTGGTTTCAACAACTAATAATTGTAAGCTTAATTAATTAAATACAGTATTGTTTGCTTTCTGTATATATAAATGTTGGTTTTATTTTTAACTTAGCTTTTCAAGAAAGTATCAATAATAATTCTGCTACTGAATCAGAAGTTTCTTTGGTTGTCAGCTCTTTTCAGTCAGATAAGTTTCGAAGCAAAAAAAATAGAATAGATCGATATTTATTGTAGCCTTTAAGTAAAGATCAACAGAAACATTTTGAACAACTTTCACTTAAAGCAACTGTTTCATATAGTTTGGCTTTTTTTTGGATAGAAAACCCAGAAATAAAGGTGCTTATTGAGTTTCTCTATCCACCAGTTAAACTGCCCTCACAAAAAAAGCTTGGTGGCCAAATTTTAGCAGAATATGCACAAAATATAACTAAATCAATTAAAGAAATAGCTCAAAGTGATAAAAATTGTGTTACATTAGCATATGATTGTTGGAAAAATATAAAAAAAGAGTTAATTTTCAAAAGTGTTTTAATTACTTCGAAGGGTAAAATTCTTGTTTGGAGTGCAGAAGATATATTAAATGAATGTATGAAATGGCCTGATGTACAATGTCAAACAGAAAATATGCTTGATGATCTAAAAAAAAAATAAATAAAAGTTATTGCTATTGTAACAGATTGCGCATCTGAATATAAAGCAGCCAGGTAATATTAGATACACTTATTTCACCAGTGCTCATTTTGTAGATATAGCACTTTACTAACAATTAATTCACTGACGTGTTTATTTCACTAATACTATACTTATTTTACTGATAAGTTTATTTCACTGATAGTTTATTTTACCTATAGCTCATTTTCCTGACAAGGTAATTCTAGTTATTGTCGTTAGGTTCAGGTTAGATTTAGAGTTAAGATTAGTGTAATTTATAAAAAAAAAAAAAACTTGTCAGCGAAATGAGCTGTGTGAAATAAAATGTCGATAAAATGAACTTGTCAATGTCAGTAAATTGATCATTAGTAAAATGTTGTATCTATATTAGTGAAGTGATACAGCATTATTATTAATAAATTTTTTTTAAATTTAAAAAATGTTTACAACGTGTGCATTCAGAAATCATATTTATTCTATGTTTTGCACATCAAATGAACTTGTGTGTCAGTGATATATTTAAAATTTCAAACACATTATCAGCTGTTGCTGAACAAGCCATTTGTCTTGTATCCTTTTTTCATCAGTCAACATTTTTTTTGGGGTGCCTTCGTTCAGAGCAAGCATCTTTATATAAGTCATATATTTCTTTTGTAACTCCAAATTCTACTCGATGGAATAGTCACTACCTGTGCTTCGCTAGCATTATTAGGTCCCATGTTGTACTCAAAAACTTAGCTACAAGAATAGAAAAAGAAAATGATGATAACCTTAAAGGTTTTTCTAGAAGTATCCTTTTTAATATTTCAGACAATGAGTAGTAGAAAAACTTTATACAATTAAAGGTTCTTCTCGAACCATATATGGCATTATTAAATAAACTTCAGCAAGATAAAGACTGCCTTACTGAAGTTTTGCATAGTTTTGGATGGGTGTGCCAAGTTATTAAAAGTATTATTGATCAGGATCTTAAAAATTATTTGCTAATAAAATTAGAAAAACGATAGTTAGCATGGGAGCAACTGTTGTTACTTTTGTCTTTTTTATTGCATCCGAGTTATTGTAATACACAATTTAACCAAATTGTTGATGGTTTTCCTTTTACGCATATAGGAGAATAGATTGTACACTATTATAAATCTTGGTTTGGTAAACCTCCACATTCTATTTTGCATGAATTGCAACATTATGAAAGTGAAGAATACCCATTTGATAAAGAAACTTTTGACCAATATAGTGGTAATATGCTAAACTATTGGAGTTTTTGTAAAGAAATTGCTGTAGAATTGCATCTTGTGGCAGTTCGCATTTTTTCAATTTGTATAACCATAGCATCAGTAGAATGGTTATTCTCTGCAATAGGATGATATTACTCAGATCATCATAATCGACTTCAGATAAATTATTTATTTTTTTTTTTAAATATCAATGTATAAATTTATTGCCAATATGATATATCATTACTATATAAACTAGAATTAAATTAGAATGTTAAAAAAAACACCTTTTGCACTCTAACAAAATAATTATTTTTTATTTTATTTTTTTTTTTTTGGTATTAAGGTGACCTCTTTGGTCTTTTGACTTTTATTAATCACTTGTCGATATTGTGGTTCAATGAACCACTACAGGA